TATGCGATGCGATAGCGATACAGAAATCTCCCAAGTTCTCTTAACTCTTTGACCGTTTCTCTTCATGCGATTATGCGATGCGAAATCAGTGTCATAACTCTTCTCTCCATCTTCTTTTATGATTTGCAATGTATACATTATGTTATTCCCTCCCCTACGTTACCTTGAAGTTTATTCTACTCGCTCTGGTTAGGTTGTTGGTCTCATTCACCTTCATCCCGTTGAAGCCTATGTCATTTTTCTGGTTATTACTTTACATTGAAGATAATACTGCTTGTTTTCGTAGTGTTATAAACGTATTACATAATCGTGCATTGAAGTTTAACTACCCAATTTTGATGTTTTGCTTTCACGCTGAACCGCCGCCTGCCCTCTATTTTAGCAAGTATGGATATGCTAGCGTTTCGAGCATCCACCAGTGACAGACAGCTTTTCGAGCAACTAGCAAAACACAGATATTGATCTAGCGTGCCAGCGTACCACCAGGAGTAGAGTATGGGAAGTAGAGGGTTAGCAGACTGCTAGGTTGGACTCGTGGAATGTCGGCGTGTGCGACCGCGCTGTATGGAGGTATGCAATCTTGATATACGGTGTATTACAGCTGCACAACGCGGCTGTACACCCCATACTTTCATGACGCCTAAGCCAGCGGTCTGCTAACCTCCTACTTCCCCATATTCTTCAGTACTGGCTGGCGTACACTAGATAATACCTACAAATTTGCTCCCGGTTGCTGGCGCTGGCGTACGCTAAAAGCGATCAAGACGCTGTTTTATGCTGACGCAGAGTATGAATGCGCGAGCGTCATCTGCACTTGGCAAAGCGACGGTCCGTGTGACGAAAACAACCTATCCCAATTAACAATCAGAAAAGAATCACCTTTGTAGAAGCAACTTGTCCGTCGTATGATTCCGATTCCCTGAGGAGTTTCACTCGAAACCTATGCGAAAACACATCATATTTACGATATCAGAAAATGAAATCTTGTTCGCTACAGAAGTTGGGGTGTGTCAGAGGGAACAGGATTTGCGCAGGCAGGCAACGTCTTCTCACCAATTCGCTGGAAGCTTGACAGACGGTCGTATATACCCTAGTTTGAAAGTTTTCGGAGTAACCCATTCACTCAAAGGAAGATAAATGTATTGATATAACATTTTGATAGAAAATAGCGTTTTAGTGTAAGCTCACACCGAAGGTACCAAAAAATTTAAACGCACTTCTTTGGAGTCACTGATGCTGACGGTAGCTTATATAAGGAAAACGTATTCTCGACTAACTTTCCCTTGTCGTCATACGTCACCTTTTCAAACGTGAGACTGCTATAGCTCTAAAATGTAAAGGTGTAAAAGAAGTACAAGAGACCAAATATCAAGGCTTTGCCACGATAAGTTACCATGACAGAAAGGCGCCTCGATCCGGGAAATATCTTCTGCATGGAGTTTTGTAACTTCGACGGCATCTAAGACAACGTCCACGGAAAGAATCTAACTCATCGCACCATGACTGCTAGAGAAATGGAGCGGACAAAAAGTCGAACCTAGAATAATCAATCTCAAACTTGTTAGCCTATCTTTTATTAACCTTGTCTACGGTGGCAACGTGTATGATAACTTACAACCTTGTGAGCGTTCAGGGTGAATACGCCTCAGGCAGCCTTCAGACTGCGCGATGGCACGCGCTACCATTGCAAAGACGGTCCTGTGCTATAGACGGAAGCAAAGCCATGGACGGGTGTTAATCGGCGCCGGCCGTCTGTTTGAGAGAGTATAGAATATAGGAGGGCACGCGTTGCCTTATCACACAGTCTGGTACCCTCCTGTTATCCTATGCTATCTCGAAACGCAAGCTGCCGTCACCGATCGATACCTGTCCACGGCGGCGTCCATCGGCTATTGGAGCACTGTTTTAATGGTAACGTGCTACCTTGAATTCTGAACGCTGTCTGAGAGAGCAGAGTTAAGAGGCTGCTCGGGAGATGGGCATGTACTGTACTTCCTAGTGGTGATTACCTTGCTGATGGATGGTCTGGATTCATGGAAAAAATGCAGAACTTTAGTCAAGGTGTGGGGATACGTTTCGTCCAACATTATAGCACTACGAAAATGTTTCGTACTTGTTGCTCGCCCGTACGGCAATCGATCTGTGAAACGATGCATGCCGCGCCAGTAGTATTGTACTGCGATTGCAAAGGGACTCCTTGTCTTCGGCTGTTTCTAAATGTTCAAAACCTTCAGCAGTACAATTTCTGCTTGCCACATACAAGATTTAGAAACATACCCTCCTCCTGTATACTCAGACGCCTGAAGAGGTATTCGCATCTTATAGGCTTTCCAAACGGCTTTACCCCATCCTCCTTCCTCCTTGAGAAGCGGTCGTAGGCCTGCCATTAGCCTCTCACAGCAAGCCTGAATGACATCGTACGAACGTTACCTTTTTGTTTCGCTTTTAGGCTCGTTACGTGATAGCATGGCAGATCTCAAGCCTGAGCCAGTGAGCCTCAAAATGACTCCGCCATTGCTGGGTAGTATGTTATGAGAGGAAAAAGCAATAGGAATCAACATGGCTTCTGCTGGCATCTCAGGAAAACTGCTGAAAACGCTCTGAATAGAGCCCTCATTTCTTTTCGAGCGTCGCGCGCACGGTGAAGAAACACCTTGCACTCGGATGAGAGACCAGGCCACGAAAGGGCGAGAAGGCACAGAGATATAAAGGCACTTCGGTATGGGAAAAGGCAATCGTATTATGCTCATCATTCAGCGGTGTTCGCGCCCATAACAAGCGACACCGCTGAATGATGAGCTGCCCCCGGGGGGGGGGGATAGGGCGTTTAAATACGAGTTTATGAGGTGCAGGAAAGTTCGATATCGCCCGCCACGGAGTTTTGTTTTGGCTCGGTTTGAATTCAGTTTCGCTGTTCTAATGGATTGTGTGATGATCAAGACTTTGCCTTGCATTCCCGCACATTAAGCCGACAAACAACGCTTTGTTCTTGTCCCTTTCAACTAGTGGTCGTTCAAGGTGTGCCTCCCATAAGTAGGCTGGGCCACGTCACGCGCGATTTGCATGCCAGCTCTGAGCCATGAAATGGGCATAGTCTGCTTACGGACCAGCTTCTTCTGTCACGTATGTGATCGCTTCATTCAGCTAATTGTAGGACGTATTTCAAAAGTGAAGTTGTGAACAAACCAGAATCGCTCGTCCTTGGATGTCGTCACCCCCATTGTGATCTCCCCCATTGTGATTTCCTCCGTTAGTGTTCCTATCTCTGTTCGCACCGAGTATCGTTATGAGTGAAGTAGGAATCTGAAGCCAACTGAGTTAGTACAGTGTGCGTAAAAGAACTTAAGTCCTTGCTATGTGCGAGGACCCTTCTCAGAGTTGAGTACACGGAGGGGGGGGGGGGCGGCAAAAAAAGACACTTTTTCCTCGACTTTCAGGCAAACTTAAGTTACATTTCATTACCCTCTGATTGGTGATCTCTGCCATCGAAGTTAAAGACTTCTGGACGAACGCATCGAGAGATTCTGCCACGCAACCGTGATTCGGGTGCCATGAGGTTTTCAGCAAAGTCGTTGATCTTCCTCCGCCACTGTAGAGCCCTGTTAAAGGCAGTTTGGCATGATGATTTTTTACTTAGCCTAAAATGCTAGTAGGGCGCTGTATAGTGGGGAAATGGCGAAAGAACGGAGTGAAACGGTCAAAATCCGGCGAAGAAAAGCCTCCGTTCTCAGTGACTTGTAAATCGATTTCGGACGAGTTTCCCGTAGGCATCTTATCAACCACCGCTACCGAAGATACGGTTGCATATGTGTACTGAAATATCAATGCAGCATCGCGGCCGCTTCATATAAATCAGTTTGTCCCTTTGTGGGTCGGGCGGGGCGGAGGAAGACGTTGTGGGACGGAAAGTTCGCTTTGTCAATAAGGCCGTTTATAGGGGTACCCTCCTGGAAAAGGCTTCACGCAGCGCCTGTCCGAGGTCACGGAATTCTGTTAAGCCAGTTGTACAAATCCTACACCTGTATAGCGATTTATCGTGCCAACTGCCTTTAAGCTTCCGCCGCCTAGCCTACCCCCCCCCCCTCCCGGTAATCGAGGGGTGTAGGTCCAGTTGACACACTTGGATATTCCGTCTTCTCCAGGTGCTCAACACCCTTCAATTCCAAGTCGGCGAGAGTTTTACCAACGCCCTTCGGTTCAACGTGCTGACACCCGATCCTGTAGCAGTACCAACTTTCCAAGAAGGTACAGACGACGACATGGGAGGAGGATTATTCGAGCCTGGTTTCTGATGTTTGAAGTCAGCATTCACTTTCAGTCAGGGGTCCAAGAAAACGATATAGGTCTTCCCATCCCAAGAACTTCTATACCACCGACCCGCGCCTTGGCGACTGCAGAGAAGATGATATTCTGACCGTAGCCGACCTTGTCGGAACTGCTCGATGTTGGAGATCATTCCAGATCAAGGGTGCCAGTCCCCAGGTAGCAGCTATCCATGGGTGACTCGATACCAAAAGTTTCGCAACTGCTTGGAGGTGACGTAAATTCCACAGACCTTCTTCAGTTCGGCTGCCATTGCAGATGGCTTCTTTGGCGTACATGAAGGTGATGGGATGGGAGAATGCTTCTGCTTATCGAGGAACATCTTGAGGTATCTTCCGCCTTGGTACTCGTATGCACTTCTTCTCCCGGGGCTGCGAATTCTTTACTGATATGTGTCTCCGAGTGAAGCGTCTTTTTTTTGCTTCCCCCCCCCCCCCTTTATTAGTACCGAATGGCAGGGTCTATCCTGCTTCACTACCAAGCTACGTGACGCAATCTTGACAGGATTTTCTTCTTGCCTTAGTACTTGTTATAATGCTGATAACGAATGCTTGTTTGTTTTTTTATCCTGACGTTACATACTTGGAGGCGGAGGTGGTGTATTGACAAAGGGCGCGCTTATCACTCGCGCGGTTCCGGTTCTGTCCCGGGTCGACTCCCGCCCAGGCCAACCAAGCCTTCTACCCTCCGGGGACGGTAAATTGGTACCAGATTCGTCTGGAGGATAAAACACTGACTTGTACATCGGCTGGCCACCGCAAGTCATTGTATAGGCCACATCGCATTCAATAAGCCACTACGATTCTGAATGGAAGTACCCACAAAGGAATTGATCGACGGCGAAAACTCTATCCTTTACAACTTTTTTACATACTTACTCGCAGTGCTCGGCTGGCTACTTGTTGACACTTTGAAATAAGTCTTTGCTCTACTTCAATTCCTCCAATCATAACAGCTACACTTCCGTCCTTGAAAATCTGCACTAGCGCTACTGCCTGAAGAGCACATTACAATGGGAACCGTCACAGTAAATGTCTGAGTGAAGTAAACATGAAAAAGTAATGAATGTAGCTGCGTGAGTCACATGTCTTTGGCAGACTTCGTACCTCAGGCCTTGCTCCTGGATGGCCTATGCCCATTCGGGTTGCACTCATTGCTATTCCTCGTTTGACATTTTCCGATGTTCTACAACAAAACATGAAAATATGAAAAAGAAGAAAGATAAAATAAACTAAAAGCCACGTGCCACAGCGGATGGCGGCGGCAAAGAAAGGAGCGTCACTGGCGCACTATCTCCCTCTCTGTTTTCTACTGCTTGAAGCGACGCCACAACTTGGCCGGTGAGTTCGCCGACTCCACCTGGTATTTCCGAAATCGTCTCTTTGAGGACAAAGCTCGCGATCAGATAATGTGGGTAGTGGGGCTCAATAGGTATGCCAATACGTCAAGAAAGTCAGTGGTGGAGAGGAAAACAGAGAGACCGTCAACTCGATAGAACCACTGACTTGTTAAAACGGTCAATTTCTTCACGTAATTCATCGAATTCACTCCAATTCATACACTCCTTCCAGCATTCCAAGAGTGCATCATTGGGGATCGTATCCTTCAACAGCCGTAGTCCTCCGCTTCTGTTGAAGTTCATTTTCATTATCTAAATATCGCACACTAGAGATTGACGTAAACAGTACTATCTTGCGCTACGTTCAGACTCCGAGCTCCAGTACTGCCCAACACCAACAGCTTTTTACCTGTTTTCTTTTTCTGTTCAACCCCTTTTTCATAGTAATTTCAGCTTTTGATTTCACAGTCACGACTTTTCAAACCAAATTCACTGGACTTGCGCCTCGTCACGCAAGTCTGAACGCAGCCTTAGGCATCAACCAAACGAACAAAAAGGAGTGTTGGTCCGCTACTGGCTGGCTTATGGCACCAGCCAATCACGCACAGTTCACGCGCGACCAATGCTTACCACAGAATTTTCGCACACTTCAGTCGACTTCACTATTGAACCACGAATTGAACGCCTATTGGCGGTGCGAAAATTGGAACCGCGCGCTTCAGCTCTACTCAGTACACTCAGGAAACAATAAGTTACATGATCAAAGCAATTTTACCTTTTCAAGTGGCTTATTCACAGCGTGAGCGACATGTGTTAGGATACCATTCATAGCGAAGTATGCTTGAGGAATACCACAACCTCTGAAAGTGGTGTGTTTCATCTCTTAATTTCCAGCGATTTCGGATGGTGACTTGGTGCGATGGTAAGCTGCGGTAAAGCGCCCAAGAGCGCGATATCAAGACCACAACCATGAGTGATTTAGAATCAGCACAGCATTAGTTGTGCCCGTACGACTCCCCCAAAAGGGTGGCTTGATACGCCCCCCTCTGATTTCCCCTCATCGAGCGTCGGAGTGGGAACCAAAGAGCAAATATTAAACGCGCGGAGAACCGCAGGGAAAGCGCCCCTCTTCTCTACCATTTCTTGGATTTCCCCCAACTTTCTAAAACTTTTTCCGGAATATCTCGAAAATTCTCCAACTACCAAACGAAAATTTTGGTACTTTCTGTCAAGGCGAGGAGAGGGAAGGTTAAGGAGGGGGGGGGGGGGGATATATTAGGTTGTTCGGAAAGGAATGCGCGTTGACTTTGTCTATTTATTTCTCTTCTACTATAGGAGATTTTTCAAAACAGTTTTGTCCATTAGAGAGAGGTTTTTATTGCGCATCTTTTGATATATTTTTTCTATGTCTACCTTGTTTTTTTAGAGAAAAAAGTTTAGAAAATGCTCGACCAAAAATTTCGAATGCGAGCTTGTATGTGGTAAGACTTCAAGCAAGTCCTAACGACGCACTTGGGTGGACCTAATGACCCACTCGGCTCACAGGGGCAGCGGGCGGACCTAGCGACACACTCGGCGAGAAAACTGGCAAAAAGAGGCTCTTTTGACCTACATTTCCTCTCCGGCGGACCTAACGACACACCCGAGGGGAAAAGTAGTGAAAGAGGCTCTTTTGGCGAAGTTTTTGCGTACAGTTGGCAACAAGTCATTGCTAGTAATGGAGATTATCTTTTAGATTGACCTTGTTTAATTTCGTTTTTATAATAAAAATTTTTTTACACTCAAACGCGCATTCCTTTCCGAACAACCTAATAGTACACACGGAAACAGGAAAAGCGCGAAAGTCGAGCCACGCTCTCTCATAAGGTTTAGAAGCAAGATACGGAACCCTCCCCGCCCCCCCTCCCCCCCAACCTCCCATCAACGAGCGAATATGATTCCCCCTTTACAATAACCAGAAACAAGAAAGAGAAGAATCAGCTATCAGAGATTTTTTCTCAGCCCAAGTATACGACCCAGCCCCCACCCCCCCCTGTTTGGAGAGTTCCCCAAAAACAATGTGAGCCGTCGCCTTAGAATAGAGGCGAGCGGCTTGGTGTTTGCCGGGGGGGGGGGGGGGGGTGAGGGGACGATACGGAACTTCTGGTGATAGTACGTAGCCTCCGATTCCCAGATCAGAGGTGGCCACTATCGGAGTAAATGCTAAACTGACACCGCCCTCTAACACTACGCCTCCATTGTATGAGTAAAACATCCATGACCGCTCCTAAGAGTAACCATTCAATAACCGACCCTCCTCGGAATCGCATGCTACCGTAATCTCCCAAAAAGTTGCCAAGTCACTACTCTTCCGAGGAACATTACACCAGAGAGTATCTTTTTTCATCGCGTTAAGTTGATTTGTTAATGTAGTTACCTCATAGTAGTATTGTTCGACTTATTCGTTTTCAATGCGTACCCTTCAGCTCTCATTACTGGAATACAATAACATGTATCGGACAGTGCGGTGGATAAATAAGTAACCTGAAAAAGGAAATTATTTTAAATTAATAAAGGCAGTTGGCCACGATGGTTTCCTACCTAGCCTAAAATGCTTGTAGGGCGCTGCCTATAGCGGGGAAAGACGGCGCCGCCGGAAAAAACGGACCAAGTGCACGGTCAAAACGGCGAAGAAAAAGCCTTCCGTTCTGCGTGACTTGCAAATCGATTTCGGACGAGTTTCCCGCACGCATCTTGCCAATCACCGCTACCGAAGATACGGCTGCTTATCTGTACCCATATATACATGCAGCATCACGGCCGCTTCATACCTATCCCTTTGCTTCATAATTTGCTCAGCAAATGAATGAATACGAGCGTCAGAAACGGTCGTCCGTTTGTGGGCGGGCGGGCAAGGAAGGCGTTTGGGACGTAAAGTTGTTGCTCAATAGGGCGTTATAGAGGTACCCTCCTTGGAAAAGGCTTCACGCAGCGCCTGTCCGAGGTCACGGAATTCTGTTAAGCCAGTTGTACAAATCCTACACCTGTATAGCGATTTATCGTGCCAACTGCCTTAGGAACAGCTCAGCTCTGTAGAGCAGCACTCAGGACCAAGATAGCGAGAATGCTTTTTGCGAAACCAAATTCAGTCAAGAAAATCTGTGACTGCTCAGGGCAAACACTGACACCATACAAGGATCAATGACATGGCTCTTTACTTACAACCCTCATTCATTTACTTCCATATTTCCCTTACAGTGCCTCGGGGACATTCACAAATCATTCACCGGAAGTAAAGGCTGAGGACGGTTATGGCCACGTTGCAGAGATTCGCAGGCGGCACTTGGCTAGTATTTCCGAGTTTAGCTTCACCAAGACGCGAACAATTAAGCGCCAACAAAACGACGACATAGTGACAGTAACGCCAGCGTTCGCCCACCACGACCACAAACCACTAACGTAGGCCAGTCTCATCGGCTCCACAAGTCAAACTATTACTTTGTCATGGCGACTAGGAAAGAAAAACGCACTCCAAGTAATTCAACAACTAGACAACGTGTGGTAGATTAAAAGATAATCACCAATCCTGGAATGCAAAGTGCCGCCCATGATGAACACCAATCTGCCTACACGTTTTGCTCACAGAACACACAGATGACAGAATCATAATAGAACCAAACAGAATAAGATCTCATTCAAATGAATAGATGACATCAGAATGCAAATAGCCATGCGTCAAGATTACACACTGAGATATGCACACAACAGGTATTCACATTTTGTGTCTATGCCACATAATAGAAATAAATGTTACAATACATTGAATCATCATAGAAAACGACATTGATATATGGTTGCCCGAGAAAGTTCTTCAGCGTATTTGAATGCACCATTTTTGATACTTCACTGCCCTGAATTAAAACATCAATATAATGACCTTGATTCCACGTAGCATACTCTGTTAGAAGAATTTCATTGCGCCCTATCTGATAGGATATAATTGCCGATATTCACCATTTCTTACTAAACCACCCATTTTATTATCAAGACTCTTTGAAGCATGTGAAGAAGAAGCACTTCGGACGATTTTTTTCTTCGACTATATAATTGGGGCAATCCGCAATCGAAACAGCTCAACAAATTAACCAGGTGTGGGGGCCCAATAGTGCTAGAGAAAGCACTGTGCGGCAATGGCTCAACAAATTTCGTTCTGGAGATTTCAGCCTTGAAGATGAACCTCATAGCGGTCGACCTAAAGCAATATCTGACGAGGATTTTAGGGGGATTTTGGAGGCTGACCCATCCCAAACAGTTCGAGAGATAGCAGAAGAGCTAGGCGTTGGCAAATCCACTGTTGCAGATGGTCTGGAACGCATTGAGGAAGGTGAAAAACTCGACAATTGGGTGCCCCACAATCGGAGTGACCGGCAGGAATCGGCACGTCTCGAGGTTCCTTCTGCATTGCTTTTGCGCAGCAGAAACGACCTGTTTTTGGGCCGAATTGTCACCTGTGATGAAAAATGGGTCATGTATGATAACAGGAGACGTTCCGGACAGTGGTTGGATTTCGACGAACCACCGAGGTAATTAATTCAAAGCCGAAACCCTCACACGAAAAAAAAGATTCTGGTCACGGCTTGGTGGTCATCGGCTGGTGTGATCCACTATAACTTTTTATCACCAGGCCAAACCATCACAGCAGAACCCTACTGTGAAGAAATCGACGAATTGTACCGAAAATTTTGTCAGATGCAGCCAACACTTATCAAAAGAAAGGGTTCTTTAATTGACATCTATGATACAAACGCTCAGCAACACGATTTCAGAAAATTCAAAACTATCCATAAATATGAAACGAATTGAGGGTTGAAAGTCTTCTACCTCAACCGCCATATTCTTCAGATCCTTTCGCCAATCCGACTATCACCTTTTCAAACATTTTCAGAACTTCCTGCTGGAAAATACTTCATCAATTTAGGACAGGCAAAAAGTCCTTTCGCTGCGATTTCACTCAGTGAATTTTCGATCACTACTGCTGTAAGCAATTAGGCAAAAGAATGTGCTAGATTCGAATGGATGCACTACTATCGATTAAATCCAAGATAAGTAATTCAAAAAGTTACGATCGTTTTAAAGTGAAAAAACACACCAAAACGCTGAACTATTAACCCGGACAACCTAATATTAGTGGTTACAAATGGCTTTGACCTACCAAAGTGTTATAGTTTTAATTGCGCCTCAAACTCACTTATACTTCACCAGAGCCGGATGACGTTTTCCGGTGATGACCATGTCTTCGAATCGTTTGAGCACGACCGTAACTGGCCGGTTCAGTGCACGAGCTGCAACTGCAGCCCAAGCTCCCATTGGGGCGCTTTGGGTATACTTACCACCAAAAGCACACCAATCATGGAGTGTGCCTGAAACACAACAATCCATCATACACTTAGCCTGCATATCTCGCGAGATGGGAGGGACGGACATGCGCACTACACATCAAAATGGCAAATGGAATCCAAGGACATTCTAGAAACTCTACACCCACCAGTGTTATTTGTCTATGACACATAGGGAACCATTGGGGTAATCTCCGTGCACAGAAATCCCCATGAAACTAATAATCGAGGGGTGTAAATGGTGTGCTCGCGGTCTCGGTATGAAAGAGAAAACGCAGACAGAAAATTCACAAACCAAATAAGTAGTCCCCCATTGACCTCAATAACACTATGATTTCCACAGAAAAAAATGAGTTTTCGCTACCCCCGTAAAAACATTTATATTTTTTCTCTATGTCCCAAAATGGCGTTAATGACGCCATTCAGTTCTTCATCGCCAGAAGAAGACGCTATTTAACACAAGGATCTTTTTAAGGGGAACTATGTGAACAAGAGCGAGATCGTCAACAGTACACCGAGATGGCGGGCGTCGCGTGCGACGTCGCGCCCAAAATGACGATGGCTACAAGGTAGTAGATGGCGACAACAGACAATTCAGAGACGAAAATACTCATAATTCTCCACGATGACGGAATTCACATGAAGTCCGGTTCTCCAATCGACAGGTTAACCCGAGTTAAGAAACCGCCGCGCCCATTGCCGCAAATTAACTTTTCTTCTTGCCCGTCTCCCTTTTTTTTAGGCTGGGAAGAAAAAACATCCAATCACACCTCAACTATTTCCATTTTTCCAAGTTTCCGAACAGTATATTCATTTTCTCGAATTGTCAACAGCAATCATTCTGCGTCTATTTTTCACCAAGAATAAACTAGAATAGGCATTGACGATAACTAAATGGGGTTGTACTTTTGCCTCAGGGAGTGTCTATTGAAACGATCGAATTCTTTTCACTCACGTCACTGCTAAATTACCCGATACAGAGAATACTTTGAACGTGCCATCGCTATTCGGTTGGAAAACGCAGGCATTGCAGGGAAGTTGGCAGGCACTGAGTTAGTTACCGCTCATCAAGAGTTAACAACTCCCCAAAATCCTTGTTGTACAAGCTGTTTCAAGGCCTATGGAGCATTTCACTTTCTTTAATAGGATGTGAGTGACAAAGCTACTTTACATAAAACTTTAGAAACTCGAAGTCGTTCACCTTCACAGTCACTTTATGTGCCGGTACACCGAGAACTGCCGAAATAAATAGCTGATGTAAAGTTGGCGATTCTGTTGAAGCATGAACAACCCTGAATTAACTCTGAGTTCGAAAAAATGGGAACCGACACATACGAGATAGGAAATGTGTGAAGATTAGCAGTAGTGATTACCATTCATCATTTCTTTCTGGTACAACAATACTACCTTGTGGTTCCATGTAACAGTGGTCCTGGCAGCCACTTTTTGTGGAACCTGAAATAGTCAGTGTACATAAATGTTTTTTATACCCCTTTCCTTCTTTTTATCCATTAATCCAGTGGAGAAGTTCGAGTTGCCCTTTCTTTTCACCACTGGAATCAGGGGCTATACTTGGAAAGCGCCGACCCCTGACATGCTGAAAAACGGTAGCAGGATTCTGTTATTGGTGGGCTGCGTTGCTCACCAATAACAGGAGCCCCTCGCATGCTCGTTTACTTTACTTTCACAGCTCAGACTCTGACGTTGAAAGCGATTACATAAATTCGTGTACTTGAGGGCAAGGAAAATCCTGCCCATTGCTAGCTCGTAGGTCAACTCTTGGATGAACTCGTTTCCAAGCCATGCCGCTCTCATAATCCTTGGGGATCGTCAAGTTGGTATTACTCTTGTCTAGGAGGATGAAGAACAATGAACTGTACGGTGGTGGACCCCGCAATCATTGTTCTAAATCGCATTCAAAATGCCACCACAGTTCTGAACCAAGTGGAATGCATGGCGTACTCAAATTTCGGTTGATCAGTACTGGATCTTCATCTTTTACCTTCAATTACAATTTCACAGTTTGCAAATTCATCCTCGACCGCATCGCGGCTGACTCCGAAATAGTGTGGTTCCAGGTGATAAGACTGTCGCGCTATGGCTTCCTGAAATATCATTCATCATATTATCATATCAAACATATTTTTACATTCGAACATATCATCAATGTAAAAATTATATTCGACTTCAAGAAGCAGAGAAATGAACAGCTAAGAAAGCGTTTTTATCCTATGTTGCGAGTGCGAAACGGTTCTATGATTGGAGGTTATGTGCAATCCACCAATCACAATTGCAACAGGCACGCGCTCCATTGTTATTCTGACGTCAGTGCTTACCTCCATTGTGAGCACCGCTGGTAGTTCTTGATATTGAACTTTAACGAGTCTTCCTGCACGACGAGCTACTTCTGATTCTTTAGCCACTACAATCCCTATGACTTGGCCCATTGCTAGTACCTGAAAAAAACGAATTGAGCATTCATGCAAAAAAAATGAAGAAGTTCAACCACTGCAAGGATACCTCTCCATCGGCAAACACTGGCGAATCATCAGGTCCAAAAATTTCTTGCAGTAATGATCCAGGATAATTTGTACCTCCTTTTGGAATATCCTGAGATCAATGTCAGATGAAAAACGGACAGGTTGCATACCCACGCGGATTTCTATTCATGTCATTGTACAGGCTGGGGCAAAATTAGTGGTGCATTATTTCGATGCTATTTCGCAACTTTCACAAATCGATTATATTTTCAAAACTCGGCGTTTATATTACATTTATAACCCACTGTTCTGTAGCTGGTTTTCCTCTCCTGCACTTTTCAATGCTCAGATGTTCATAGCGCTTGAATGTATCCTTAACCGTCTGCAAAGGTATAGGATGGGACTTTTCGATCCCAAGCTTCCCTCTACCTCTATTATGGAATTCTTAGCTTTTATGGCTGTATCAAAATCAAGATATTACATGCTCAAAGGCGTATTCAATGCAGTACGTTTGAGCTACAATCGCAAAAAAATTGGACCAGGTCCAAGTCGCGCGCTTTGCAATAGTTTTATCGGCCTCTTTTTGAAGGCAGAAGGCACGATAATTTTGGTATGGATTTGGTTCTCGGTTTAGAAAAGGTGATATCTTCGGGAAAAAATGGCGAAAAAGCGAGTTTTTGCGGTAAAAGCCTCAAAAAGCCTTTGTTGTAACACCAGGCAGAAAGCAATCGGACCGAGTTTTTTCGGTTAGCATCATGGAAAATCACTGAGACTGTGGTTAGATCGTGGCCTGCTTGGGCCTAAAGTTACGCAGCGAAAACTTTTTGCCCTAAATTAAGTGCGGCCTGCAAAAAGCTATGTAAAAAGTACCGCGTCAGGGAGAGCATAGATATCGCGTCCACCGCGTCTGCCCATTTCGAACCAGAGGTTACGCCCATCCGGTTGAGTCGAAAGTATGGGAAGTAGAAGGGTACTAAACCGTTGGGGTAGCGTCGGTGATATGCCGGCGTGTACACCCGCACTCTGCACAAACTGCTGGAGGCATAAAGATTTTATGCAATTTTAATATGAAGTGTAGTGTAGTTGTACGGTACGGACAGGGTAATTTCTGCTCAATTGACGACCTCAGTGGATTCTTTTCATAACCTCCTACCTTCACTAATATTCTCTACACTCGATCGCTGGTTGGATCGCTGGCAGACGCTGAATCGATAGCTATACTTTCCTATTCGGTGACGCTGCCGGAAGCTCGGAGCGCTAGTGGACGCAGGTAGACGCTAGTGAATGCTGCCGCAAAGCATGAACGCAGCTTAAGGCTCTGGGAGAAAGTAGAACTGCGGAGCGTAATAAGAGAAAGTAGAAGGAAAATTAAGAGAACACTTTGGCAGGTTCTCTCGTTTGACGGGCAATGTGAGTGTTCATATAAACGTTTACCACCAACCAAAGTCGGCCGCGTACGGGAAGAGAACGCCCTATTAGGTCGCGTTTATACTTTGCGCAGCAGGCGTAGCGAGCGCTATCAGCGTACGTCTCAGCGGCAGTGCCGGGGAGGGGGGAGAGAGATTTATATCGATCTAGCGTTCCCAGCGTCACCAGCGTAACGCTAGCGTTACGCCAGCGTTTCTCCAGCGTTTCACCAGCGTTTTGCTAGCGTTTGCAGCGGCAGGGGAGTAGAGACTATGGGAGAGCTGGAGGGTACAAAACACATCGATTGCGCGTCTCTCACTCGCCCTTAGTCTCTACAATATCTACTCGATTGCGCGTCTTACGGCCCCTACTCTCTACTTCCCCTGCTGCTGCACAACGCTCAGCAGAACGCTAAGTGAAACGCTAGCGTTACGCTGGTGACGCTGGGAACGCTAGATCGATATGCATCCTCTCCCCGGCACTGCCGCTGGCGTACGCTGGAAGCGCTACGCTACGCTACGCTGCCGCAAAGTATAAACGCAGCCTTATTTTCATGGTTTGCACAACAACGTGAAATTCCACAACGTTAACCGTCGATGAGTCCTTTGGGGATGCGAAACACCCTTATCTCACCTCCACTTAGAATCGTAATGACTTCTGAACCTGAGAATCGGCTCTTGCAATGAATTGCGAGGAGAGCGGGTCAACGGAAAAGCCTTCTCAGGGAGCGACACAGCGCGACCAAATGAGGTGGTCCCGGTAGAATAGAAAGCCTGGCTGGCTTGGACGGGAGCCGATCCGGGATGTGACCCTGATATTACGTACGCTTTCTACGTTTACACTGGCGCCTCTTGCTGCGTACATCTACTTCGGTCTCTACAAACTATATATTATGTTATTTCTATGTTCCTGACTTTCCTAATATTGTTGATTCGGTGGAGAATAAATAGGCGAAAACGGATGAAAATGTCTTTCAGAGCCTGTACCAAGTATTAGGGTGATAAAAAAGATGACCCAATTTTTTGAAATTTCGAGAACTTTGGAATCTTGGTCGATATCGATGACCAAGCAAGTGGTAGTTGTAGAACATTCTCGAACCTTCTCCATAATGGGTATATAAAGCTGGGCTGCTTCCTATAGCTTTAATCACGATGGCAATCACACAAGAGCTAATTCGACACGTCATCTACACCATCTACGCACGCCAACTCGGCAAACTCGCCGAAGCTCTTCGCGAAAAAAACGGTTCCGAACGGGCCTCTCGTGTCCACCTTCTGCACGACAACGCCCGACCCCACATAGCAAAGGAGACCCGGGAAAAACTGGAGGAGCTGGGCTGGGAAACTGTCCCTCACCCGCCCTATTCCCCTGACCTAGCTCCTTCAGATTACCACTTGTTCCGTCCCCTTAAGGCTTTTCTAGCTAAGAAACAATTCACCAAAGTTGATGATGTGAAACGGGCGGTGAGTGACTTCTTCGACTCCCAGTCTCCTCAGTTCTGGGAGAAGGGGATCGCTGACCTGCCCATTAAGTGGGAGACTGTTGTCACTAATGATGGTGATTATTACCTGATTGAACGTAGCGATTTGTATGTCTGAGCACTGAAATAAACAGAATAAATTTTTTTAAATGGGTATCTCACTTTCTTATCAACCTAATATTTTTTTTGCTATATGTTGTTTTGGGCAAATGCAGAATGTGTGCAGTTCTAGTGACGTTATCTTGCAAAAACGTCAAGGGATCACAGTTCAGCGTGTTTACCATAACAACCGGCAGTGAAATGCAGTTCATGACTCAAGGCAACAGCATTCGCTGTTTGAGACGCTATACACGAGACCACCATGAGAAGCCTCGTTCATGAACATGCTCACAAAATGACCAAGCTAGTACGACATCACGTGGAAGCTTCCAGTCTCTAATCTCAGAGATATTTTTATTTCTTTTTACGAGTGTCTACATTCTTTTAGTACCAAGAATCTTCTTCCAATAATAAAAAAATGTAAAGCCGGCCACAATGGCCACATTCCTTACCAGCTCTTTTTAGCATTTATCACATTCGTTCATCCAAAAGTACATGCTCACTACATGCCCCCCCTTCAGTTCTCTGATCCACCTTCGTTTTGTTATTGTTGATTTAGATGATCATTTCTCCAACAGATAATGTTTTGCAGTGGTACTTTCGTGCACTGTAGGACTTCCGAGCCTGACGTTAGTTACTTCTGCTTGGTCTGCTGGGTAGCCCGTGTTTCGAAGTGCTGGTAAACTTCCATGACCCCACATGTGGCGCTAAGGACACCTTGGCCAGTTGGTGTAGGCCGTTGAAGCATCGCTAGCTCCAATCCTTCCCAGGGCCTCTGAACCAGATGAAAGCATTTTCTTGTGGCGGTAAGCTCCTGACTGGACTACTCACTAGTTTATTGCTTTTCATTTCCTTGTTGCTCTCTTAAACAAGTAGGCATTTTCTTAAGCGACTGTCTCTACACGGTTTCTTTCCTTAGCATCTTCACGGCTTCGATACTGTACTACAGTCCTTGAGAACTTTTAAGCCGTGCCGCTGTAGTATTAGTAAATAAATAAATAAATAAATTGTGACCCGCACCTTGATTTGTAATCCTCGTTTCTTACGCCCCTATCAGCTCCTATTACCACATGTCAATTCCGGTTAACCCACCAATAATACTGACATCCGGCCTTCTACATCACTTCTTTGAACAACTCATTTTTGTTATTGTGATCCCGCGCCTTGAATTTTGTTACCCTCCTTTTTATGGGTGTCCGAGGAATTGAATAGTCGAGAGTGTCGCATTTTGCAAAAATCACAGGTGCTCCATAGAGTCGAAATCAGGTTGTATGGCGCGCACCTCCACCCCGAATTTTTTTTCTGACTTTACGTTTTTTTTCTTTATTTTTGTCAATGATTTCGCTTTGCTTGCTTACCTTTGCTTCTATCCACAACTTAGCATTCTTTGACACCTTTTATCGATTTGAGGTGTTAAACAGTAATTATCTTACGAAAACTACTTCAAAATGCACCAGTAATGTTGCCCCACAATGTGTTACTGCATATTATCCCTGAATCAGATGCTGCTACTAACAACCGAAGAGTAATGTCCTTACGTTGATGTCGTAGTATCCTAAAACTCCGTTCATGCGCAGTGCATCGCTGGTGTCAATCTTGAGAATTTTCCCATGAGCTACCGTTGAAAGGACCACACCACCATAAACAACATCTGGAAATAACAGCGTAGAACAAACTAGTGAGTAGTAAACACCATATAACTTGTTTACGGTGACGTGTGCCACAGAAGAACAGGGTTACAGGTTTTTCCATCAAGGTCTTCACTTTTCACCTTTGCACCCCGCTGAAAACTGCAAACTTTTTTCTTTTCTACCGCAGAGCGAACGAAACTAGGAGGGGGATGAGGAAGGAAAGAGAATGATCCACCTGATGGTGAAGAGGCAAAAGGATCGTGATGCCTTTATGCTTCACTCTTTCTCAAACTAAACATATCCCATGAACAGGGCAGCCACCGCCTCCTTCACATGGGGTACGTAGTCAC